AACATCTGTGGGTGGCTCCAAAATTACTTCATCTTGCATTTCTTGACTTGCTAATTCTCCAGGTGAAAGCTTAGGGTAACTAGGATAGAGTTCCTCAGCCTAATAGGGGAGCAATGCATTGCTCACTGTCCTGGAAGAATTTGGGACAATACACATAGTATTTAGCATTGGCGGTATCTGAATCTGAGATCTCTGGGCAATTGTTTTCTTCCACTCTTGTCTCTGTCCTAGTGGAATTTTTCTTTGTTTTGCCTGGTGTAAAATCTTCAAAAGTCAAATCAATGACAATGGATCACCCTTATTGGTTTGTTGGCTTTCTCTCATTTAACTTTGTAGATATGCTCTTGCCCTATCTGTTCAACTACCCTGTACACTTCCTTTTCCCAGTATGGACTGAGTTTTTCCAGACCTCCTCTTTCTGACAAATTTCTTACAAGACCACAGTTCCCAACCTTTAGTGCCACTCCTTTTGTGCGTTGGTCATAGTACCTTTTTGAGAGAACTTATGGCTATTCTCAGAAGCAATTCTGTAAACTTCTCATCTTGATAGCCCATTTTCAGCATACTGCTGGCTTGATCTTTCCTCCTTCTCATCATCCATATCAAATAACAGATTCACTAGTAAACTGGGTGTTTTGCTACACAACTGAAAGAAAGGGGCATAGCTGGTTGCTTCATGCCTAGTACAGTTATATATAGTTAGGTCCATATATATTTGGACACAGGGACAATTTTCATACTTTTGGCTCTGTATGCCACCAGAATACATTAAAACAAAACAATCCAAATGAATTTGAAGTGCAGACTTTCAGCTTTAATTCAAGGGGTCAAACATATATATCAAGTACAAATTTTAGGAACTGCAACCATCATAAATAAAATGTTCATTTTTAATATTTTGTTGAGAATAATTTGCTGGCAATGACTGCCTGAAGTCTGGAACCCATGGACATTACCAAAGACTGGGTTTCCTCCTTTCTGGTGCTTTGCTAGGCTCTAACTGCAGATGTCTTCAGTTGTTCTTTGTTTGTGGGTCTTTCTGCCTTTAGTTTTGCCTTCAGCATGTGAAATGCATGCTCAATTGGGTTAAGATCAGGTGATTGACTTGGCCATTACAGAATATTTCACTTCTTTTCCTTCAAAAGCTACTGGTTTGCTTTTGCAGTGTGTTTTGATCATTGTCCATCTGTACTGTGAAGCACCATCCAATCAACTTTGCTGCATTTGGCTGAATCTGGGCTGACTGTATATCTCTGAACACTGCAGAATTCATCCGGCTGCTTCTGTCTTCTGTCACATCATCAATAAACACCAATGACCCAGTGCCACTGGAAGTCATGCATGCCCATGCCATCACACTGCCTGCACCATGTTTTACAGATGTTTTATTCTTTGGATCATGAGCTGTTCCAAGCATTCTCCACACTTTTTTTCTTCCCATCATTCTGGTACAGATTAATCTTAGCTTCATCCGTCCAAAGAATGCTTTTCCAGAACTGGTCTGGCTTTTTTAGATGTTTTTTGGCAAAGTCTAATCTGGCTTTTCTATTCTTCAGGTTTATGAGTGGTTTGCACCTTGTGGTGAACTCTCTGTATTTGCTTTCGTGAAGTCTTCTCTTGATTGTAGACTTTGACAATGATACGCCCACCTCCTGGAGAGTGTCCTTCACTTGTCTGGATGTTGTAAATGGGTTTTTCTTTACCATAGATTTGATTCTGCCATCATCCACCACTGTGGACTTCCATGCCTCTTTATGTTGCCGAGCCTTTAAAAATGCTCAGAAAGCGCAGCAAACGCCCGGTAAAAATGCCTATGCATTTTTACTGTGTTTTTGCGACGGATCAGTGTGAACGTATTTAAGATGTCTAAGTTTAGATTCTGGATACCAGCATTGGTTCTCTATTCTCTATGCAATCAAACCAGATCATGGTGGATATAAGGATACTGCAGAGTGATACACATAACCTCCCTACAAAATTAACACCTTGCCTTTGATGAGTTATTTGCATAGAAAGAAACACATTTTTAAAAAATAATATTCAAAACATTATAAAAACATAAATTTAGTTATAGGCAGAAAATACACCACAACTTCAATATTAATAAGACATGTCTCTATAATAATTTGAATGTAGAGAAAAAAATGTAAATATTCATGGCCAAAGTGTTCAATATTAGTGTAGTGCGACCCCCGAAGGAGCTGCTTGGTAACTTTGTTTTTTTTTCTTCTGTGCTCCAAGAACAACCTTGCCCCCTCTGTCACTGGCTGACTAAAAATCACTGCAAGCACTGGTCCAGGTGTGGCTTCACAGCACTGAGAGAGACAGAGAACCTAAATTGGAGGATCCAGTCCTTTGCCATCTGTCCTGAGGATTGCAGATGGGAATTTTTTAAATCTGCAAAGGCTCATGTCTAGTTTTAATACTTGTGATTGGCTTTCTAATTTTAAATAAAATAAGTGAGCCCTATATAGGTTCTCAAAGTCTTTTAACATTTATTTATTTCAGATATTTATATAGCGCCGTCAGTTTACACAGCGCTTTACATATACCGTATTTTCCGGCGTATAAGGCAACTGGGTGTATAAGAAGACCCCCTAATTTTCCAGTTAAAACATAGGTTTTGGGCTATACTCGTCGTTTAAGACTACCCCCCTTCTGAGGCAACACCATTTAATACCCCTAGCCTACAGGGCACTTATACCCACTTCCCCCCCAGGCCAATTTTCAGCTTTCAGCGCTGTCACACTTTGAATGACAATTGCGCGATCATGCAACACTGTACCCATATGAAATAGGTGGCACTGATGAGGAGGCACTGGTAGGTGGCACTGATGGACATTGACAGGCATCACTGACTGATGATACATGGGCACTGACTGAAGTGGCAGCACTGAAGTGGCACTGACTGGCGCTGTTAAGTGGCACTGACTGGCACTGATAGGCGGCACTGATGCGCACTGATGGGCGGAACTGACTGGCACTGATTGGCAGCACTGATAGGTGGCACTGATGGGCATTGACAGGCATCACTGGGCACTGAAAGGTGGCACTGGTGGCACTGGGCAGCACTGATAGGTGGCACTGACTGGCACTGATGGGTGACACTGATAGGCAGCTCAGATGGGCACTGATATGTGGCATTGATGTGGCACTGATGGACACTGACAGGTGGCACAGCTGGGGCTACACTCATGATCAGGGCACACTGATCATCAGTGCCCTGATGATCAGTGTACATGTTCCCTCTGCGGAAAGCCGCTTACCGGCTCTCCTCTCCTCTCAAGCTGTCAGCGTGACAGCTCGAGAGGAGGGAAATGCTGATAACCGGCATTTCCCTCTTTACATGTGATCAGCTGTGATTGGACACAGCTGATCACATGACCGAGCCGACATCTTCGGCTCTTTCCGTGATCGGGGGTCCGCTGTTTCCGAGGGACACAGCGCATCGCCGCACATGCGCGGAGAATGGGAGGATGTCATATGAGCCAATCACGGCAAGTGATGTATTCTATTAATGAATACAGAGCCTGCTTGGATTAACTGTGTCAGAGAGGCGGGCTGATGATGTCACAACTTCAGCCAATCTGAGCAGGCTCTGTATTCATTAATAGAATACATCGCTCACCGTGATTGGCTCAGCGCGGTACACTGTATGTAGCTGAAGCTACCGTACAGTATTACCGCACATCCAGCGGTTCTATACCCGGCGTATAAGATGACCCCCAATTGTGGGGTATGTTTTTAAGTGATGATGGGTGATGGGTGCAGCGAGGGGGGGAATAATTATTGAAACCAATACAGTGTATGACTATATCTGCAGCTGGGAGCGAGAGGAGGAGAATCCAGCTTTCAGCTGCTGCAGGAAGAGCCATACAGGGGACCGGTTGCAGCATTCCCCCCCACTCCATGCTGATCACCCTCCCTGCCCACATCCGATTCACCCAGCTGCCTGGACCCCCCTGCTGGCCTGGACCCTGTACAGGAGGACTGGTGGTACCCCCTTATCCACGGCCCTGCTCATAACCATGGCCAGATCTAGAGGGTTGCTGAGGTGGGCTATGCCCCACCAGAGTTCATTTGCACCCCCCCTCCCCAAAGCCAATTGCCCCCCCCCCCCCTCCAGTGTTGCTGATCATTTGTTTAATTACTGTAATTCTGGATGAACAGTGAAGCTGATGAGTTGCTCCTCCTCCCACCACCTCCTTAGCCAATCACACAGCACTGTAACCCACCCTTTCCCCAGCCCACCACATTTGACTCGGAAGAGAAGATGCTGGCAGCCAGAGTGGAGCTGGATGAGGGTGGGAGGGGGAGGACTCAAAACAACAGAAGTACAGGCTCCCTAGAAAGTATGATAAAGTTCATAGCAAACAAATCACACAGGACTCTACAGTAGCTCTATATAGAAACCTGAAGATCAGCACTAACAGTGTGACACACTGACATGCGACTGCAGCGTCTTCAAGAAGTCTATGATCAGTGTGTTCACCAGTCCAGCGTGCGGCGTAGGCAATGATCGCCCTGATTAGGGAATGACGCCCTTCGCTCTTCTCCCACTTGGTTACTTTTTTATTGATTTACACTAGCACTGCACACCGGAGGGTGAACATACCACTGATCATTAGACTTCCTGAAGATGCTACAGCAGCATGACATGTGAGTGTGTCACATACCCATAGTGATGACTTTCAGCTGTTTGTTAAAGAGTCCTGATTTATTTGGTTTCCTTTTATGTTGCCTTTGCAGGATTTAGGCTGATTAGGTTTGCGGCTTCACAGATCTATTAACCATTTGCTGCCGTCCTAACTTTGCTGAAGCAATGGACTGTTCATAGGATAGAAATTGGAACTGTTGCAGCTTTCTGTAACTTTGCTATATTTTGTAAGGCTCTGTTCACACATGCGATGACCAGCATTTTTCCACACTGGGAGAACACCAGTGAACGCTAGGACACACTTGCAGCATGCTTGCCGTCTCTGACCATCTCCTGTATTATTTCTGCAGTCTCTGACCATCTCCTGTATTATGTCTGCAGTCTCTGACTCTCTCCTGTATCATGTCCACAGTCTCTAACTGTCTCCTGTATTATTTCTGCGGTCTCTTACCATCTCCTGTATTATGCCTGCAGTCTCTGACCTCTATTGACTTCTAGATATTTTTTCAGTGACACTATGTCCCACCATTGGGTCATCTCATTTTCTAACAGATATTGCAATATATAAAATGTAGAAATCATACTTTTTTTTCGTCTTCTACAGCTGAGTCCATGGACATAGTGGCTGTAGTACTTGTGTTAGCATTGTCCTGTGTTTTGTCCATTTTCTCAAATGAGTCCACAGAGTTGTAGAAACCCTTGGCTAAAGAGGTTCTTCTTAGGAGTCTTTCATCTATAGATATAACCATGTTGTCCACTCCAAATGACTGGTCAGGTCCTGGGCAGCCGGTGACCCCAAAAGAAACAACCGAACTGGATATCGTATGTACTCTCCAGCGCTTCAGGAAAAGGACAGCCAAAGGGAAGCCAAGGGGACCAGGACAGAGATAACCAAAAGAAGATGCTTAAGGGGTGCAGCCCTCCTCAGATGGTGAGATCAGCCACTAAATAAAGAGTAAAGAGGTGGTGCACACACCTAGTGCATTATCCAAGGTTTATTCAAAGGTATAAAAGACACAAACATACTCATAGACGAAGCATGTATAAAAAACTTTTGCATTAAGAAGATGGCCAGAACGGCAAGCAAGGTGTTCCAACTCCTGTATCATGCCCGCAATATCTGACCATCTCCTGTAGTATGCCTGCAGTCTCTGACCATCTGCTGTAGTTTGTCTGTAGTCTCTGACCATCTGCTGTAGTTTGTCTGTAGTCTCTGACCATCTACTGTTGTAGGTCTACAGTCTCTGTCCATCTCCTGTAATATGTCTGTAGTCTCTGATCTTCTCCTGTAGTATGTCTGCAGTCTATGACCGTGTCCTGTAGTCTGTCTGCTATCTGTGACCGTCTCCTGTACTATGTCTGCAGTCTATGACTGTCTCCTGTAGTATGTCTGCTATCTGTGACCGTCTCCTGTAGTATGTCTGCAGTCTATGACCGTCTCCTGTAGTATGTCTGCTATCTCTGATCTTCTCCTGTAGTATGTTTGCAGTCTATGACTGTCTCCTGTAGTATGTCTGCTATCTGTGACCGTCTCCTGTAGTATGGCTGCAGTCTATGACCGTCTCCTGTAGTATGTCTGCTATCTGTGACCGTCTCCTGTAGTATGGCTGCAGTCTATGACTGTCTCCTGTAGTAGGTCTGAAAAAAGATGCTGAGGATTGTCAACCCTGCATGCACCCCTTCTACCCCAGACGTTGTGAATCAGATTGCTTTTCTGCATTTATGGACAGGACGGATCAAAAATTTTTTTTCAAACTGTCTGTAAAAATAAGGCCAGTTGGCAACCCTGTTGGGGGAATGAGCAGTCATCTTACGCAAGGAAATGGCAGCGGAGACAAAGAGGCAAACTGTTATGCTAGATTACTGCACAGATCTGGAAGAAATACAAAGATCACATCAAGATTCAAATAACAATGCATGACTATTTAAACTTTGCTTATCCTGTGGTGGTTTACACTAACTATAATGTATTGCTACCGCCAAATAAACTGCTGGATAGTTGTGTCCTTCTGCTGCCCCTAATGGTAACCCACATTAACTGTATCCAAACTTGCTGAGCACATCTGTATCATAAGGTGCACTTTATTCAACACATAATACGTTCTGTAGCAAAGAGGTATGTTAAGACAATAAAACTACAATAGTTTAGGTACAAATGTCTTAAAGCAAAAGAAAACTCCACTTTTAAAGTTGTACCTACAGGTAAGCCTGCGATGTTTAGGAAATATTCACACTGGATGCAGCCGGTGACGTCACCAGCGCATGTTCTCTGAAGGGACGGAATACCTGTGCCATCCCTTCAGATCTCTGTGCTTCAAACCATGACTCCTGTGCACATGCGTGGGAGTGATGTCATTGCAGCTTGGCCATTCAAAGGACCGGAGTCAGCAAAGACAGAAGGAAGAACACGGAAGATGGAAGTACTGTCTGTTGGGAATACAACAGCATGTACTATATAGTATTGTGTGTTAATATCACTTGACCAGTAAATGGCACTGTACACTAAGGTTACCAGTTGTGCATATCTGAAAACTTGTTGGTTCTCTCTCTTCCTATTCCTCTCTTCAAAACCAAGATGTCTGCTGAAATGTGTTCTGTATGTTTGCAACTTAAGCCACAAAAATAAAACAGTGTTCTGCCTCATCACAAGCTACCAGTGTCTTCTCTAACACATAACCAACACTGTCAGCAGTGACAGCTCACCCCTGAAGGGCTTTGTTCGAAGGTAAGTATTTCATAATGTGCTAGTATGCGATCAATATTAGCAGATTATGCCATTGCCTTGCTGGATATTTAGAAAAAAAAATTTTTTTTTTGAAAGGCTGTGGTTTACTACCGCTTTAACTATATACAAACACACCCTATGTATGCCAGTGGCTGGTGTTGTCCAAAATGCAGTTCCTTTGGAGCACTCTCTCTAGGCAGCAGCAAAGTGCAGTGAACTCGGGTGACCAAGAGGTCTCTCACTACAAGTGCTGGTCCTAGCTGTTTCTTAAAAGCCAAGTGAGAGGTCCCTCTGAAGCTAGCGTCTGCTGGATTCTGCAGCCTTTTCTACCTGGAGTCAGCATTCTGTCTCTTCAAAGCTTTTACCACTGTCCTTTTTGGCTCTGCCCTATACTGCTCTGTCACTGTAGCTCTCTGCAGTCAATCAGGATCCCACAGTTCAGAAGAACCTCTGTAGCACTACACAGTTCTCCACCATCCTTGACTCTCTGCTCATCACAGTACAGCTCACACCACAGCAGCCTTGTGTTTTTTCCTTTGTCTACAGAACACCATAGTACACACAGCAACAGCCTTTGCATCAACATTACCATTATCCCATTATTCCCAGCACGGGACACCGGCGTTGATTCTTAGATCGTAGGTCTTCCCAAGCAGTAATTCAACCGGTGGGCAACAATTAGCCATGACAGCAGCAACAGGCCCACAGACAAACAAAAAGGGTCAATAGACCCAAGCAGACAATTGACAACAGAAGCACTTGTGGCCAAAGCATGAATCAGCAGAGGCTCAAGAGCCACCTGTGAAAAACTGTCCTTGAAAACATGAACAAACAGGTGGCGGCCCTGCAACTTGTAAGAAAAACAGATGCTAGATACTGTACTCAAGAATCTGTATATCTTTGGGAGACTGTTGAGGTTGGAAAGGAGGGACATGTTCCCTCAGGGCAGGAGCCCTGAAAAAAAAGGCAAAAACTGCGTGGAAGAGGCAGGGGGAATCCTATAGAGCGAGGTGTCCAAACTCTGGCCCTCCAGCTCTTGAAGTACTACAAGTCCCATCATGCCGCTGCCTCTGTGTGTCTTGCCTGTTGATGTCAGAGTCTTTCAAGGCCTCGTGGGACTTGCAGTTCCTCAACACCTGAAACTGAAGAGGTGTCAGTTCCAAAGGGAAATTCTGAAAGACCCTCTGCACACTGGTATATACCCTTTCAAGCAGACTATGCAATAAATAGGGATATTTAGTTCACACATATTGCAATACATGCTTAAGCTGGCCAACTGCATCAAAGGATATGAGCACAGGTATCTCTTGTTTGTTGTATTATGGGTCAGTAGCCAGACCTGAACCTTGTAGCTCTCCCCATTGTGTCTTTTCCCCTATGCTAGCATTGTGTCCTATTTATTGCATAGTCTGCTTGAAAGGGTATATACCAGTGTGCAGAGGGTCCTCAGAATTTCTAGTGTTAATATGTGGTTACACCCCTTTAGCACCTGATGGATAAATGCATGCACTAGCTGTTGGGATTTGAGCACAGGTATCTCTTGTTAGTTCTAAAGGGAAGACATGGCAGACAGCCATAGATGACAGTCCTGAAAAGAAAATAACCCTAGGAAAACAAGAAGGACTAGCTGTATGTAGTTTAAGAAAAAAGGAAGCTTCCCAGAAGAGAACAGATGGAGCCAAGGCAGAACTATGGCTGCCAGAGACAAAGGAGAGAAGAAGGTTCTATTCTTACAAAAAACCTTGCAGCTTTTGCCTTTGACATGCTTGCCTATAATTTTCAATCTGATCAATTCAGAAAACTCTCTCTTCTGCTTTCTCTGCTCCATGTTTAGTGTGGTGCACACAATGATACCAAACTGCAGCGCCTACATTTCCCCATTTAAATATACTGTTTGAAATATCACTATGATCCAATTATTTATAACTTTTCTAGGGGTAGCAACAGGTCTGTTCAGGCCATTTTAGAATATCTTTGTAGAATAAGTGATAATTTATCTCTTTTCACACTTTCTTTTACTCTATGACATACCAAAGGCATGCAGGTACACTATAGTTAGCATTACTTTTTTTGTTTTACTGTTGGAGTTAAAGCTCAACACTGGGCATCTGTAAATATTCATGTTGTGGTAGTGAATGATACTAAGCCACATACTTGCTTCTTATTCTTTGCTTGCCCGAAATCCAACACTCCTGACGTGGGAGGGCCCTTGACGTCTTCATGTACAATATGGGACCGATGGTTCTACATTGTAAACTATGACGTCAGGAGGGAGTGACTGGTCGAGAGGTGAAGGGAAATGGCTTTGTTGACCAGTCATACAATGAAAAGACAGCCTGTAGGACCAAGGAAGAGAGAGGTAATTCTGCTTATTGCACAACATTTAGCCAAACGGTATTATTCCTTGCAGTCCTGAAAGCCCCACAGGTGAATTTTTACAGATGTCAGCAATTCATCTTTAACCTGTTTCTACTGGCAAAGAGCTGTGAGAAAAGAAAAAGTGTTGAAATCTGTTAAATCATGCCTAATATACCGTTTAGCTCTGTTTTAAATATTGTGGTATTCACGGAATACTAAATTAATAGTGCTTTAAATGAACGTAAAGTCTCTTTTTTTTAAGTGCTGACAGGTAGGCTTTTTTAATGACGGAAGAGGCTGTCCATGTGTCTTCTTTCATAGATGTTTCTCCCTACTTGTTGGGACTTTTTCTTTTGTATGTGTATACATATACAGCTCATTGTTTAGTCTCAACGTAAATCTTTGTTGGGACAAAGTATGCACATGTGCAAGAGTTTCGTCATCTGGGCCCAGCCAATGAAGCAGCCAAAAACTCCAAATCCACAAGAAGACCAGGAGAAGATCAAAATGCTAGGAATGACCATGGAGTGCTGTATTGCTGCCTATAGTAGGCAAATCCTATTTTTCATGCACATTGGTGAAAGGCTTTTGTGAAGCAGTATGTTTACTACCAACTGACGACTATTGGTGTTCTGCTTTGTTAATTGTGTACCATTTGTACGAATAAATAACATTTTTCACTGATAAAAGAAAAGTACCAGGAATTGAGAAGAATGCAATATACTAGCACATTATAGCTAAAAACTCTTGGGATCCAAAAATTATTTTTGGTCAGTGGTTTACTGCCACTTTATTTGTTATGCTCTGGTTTTTTGCTGGATGAGTACATTTTGCAGTAACTGCACATATTGTGAAAATATATTTAAAAAAATGTCTTTCCTAAAGTAGAATATATTGCAGTGCCACAGGAAGACTCTGCACATCAGAAATGTAAGGTTCCATTTACACCTAGGCGTTTTGTAGCTTGAAGCTCAAAGCTCCAAAATGGCCAACAAGAGTAACCCCATTGTTTTCGATAGCCCCTATACACATCTGAGTGTCTTGTTGCTTGTAGCTGGATCTCTGTCACTCTAAAAAGTACATGAGATAGTTTTCAGGCAAAAATGAACATTTTATTGAGTACCGTACTTGTTTTTTTTTCCCAAACAGCAGCTTTCCACCCGTTTGTGACTACACATCTGGTGATCAAGATGGAGGATGGCACATTGTTCCTCTTTGAGGCAGAGGCA